ACTCCCGTAAAGATTTACACCCTCGGAAACCCTGTACAGGGTCGCTATGGGTCGGACCCGACTCGATGGCACTTAACAACAACAACAACACGGTTCAGAAACCACTGGACAGCTCTTAACAACAACAACAAACTAATATTGTTCCGGCTGCTCCCAAGAGCAGGACAGGAGTTCCTATCTATAAAAAGAAGTGTTGGGGTCCTTACCCTAACATTCCATGATGGTCCAGGCCCTGGGGGAAATGCAGACAGATAGCAGACAGTCTTTAATGCAGACAGATAGCAGTTAAGGGCCTGTATCAAAGAGATGCCTTTGAGAAGAAGGCTAAGAAGGGTCTCCAGTCACTAAATGCAGGAAGTTAGTGACATGTGTTTGAAAAAAGGCGGGCCAGGCAGAGGTGAGAGAGGACTCCAAAGGTACAAGAGGTACTGCCCATTGGTTCTCTGTGTCCATTCGCACGTCTGCAGATGATCCCCTCCACAAGATATCAAAGCACCAAGGGGTGTGCTAGGAGGGACTAATGAGTTAATGACACATAATCCCAAACTCCTCACTCAAGACCAGCCAAGTCCTGTTCCCAGCTTCAGCAGCCACCACACAGTGGCCTTCCTTCCTCTCCATGGAAAGAAACACCAGAAGAAGTGCTCTAACTCCGGCTGAGCGGGCTCGGTGGTGCAGCCATGAGGCTGGTTCCAATTTAGGAAACTCCTGGGATCTGTGAGGAGCTTGTCCAAGTCTAGTTCACAGCAGGGCAGAAGGAACCACGCTGTTTCTCCTCTGGGCAACAGTCTGAAAGGGTAGTCCGCCTTCGAATTGCAGCCCTGTCGGAGCCAGTGGAGGGGTCGCAAGGGTTGCAACGCTTTGGACTTGGGGGTCGCTGCTTTAGACTTGGGGGTCGCGGTTAGGCCAGAGCTGCGTGTCTGGATTCGGTTCCTGGGAGCCAGCTGCAGCGGAAACGCAGGACATGGGGAGCGTGTCAGCGCGCAAGACCTCAGGATAAGCACATCACCGCGAAGGACTGGGGCATGGTTCTCCAGAGGGACCTCTGCTGTGGTCGGGGCCGCGGTGCTAGTGGACAGCCTCACACCACTTCCATCTAGACCGGACGGGTTCATTGGTAGCATGTCGAGAAGAAGTAGAGAACAAGGCAGAATCTGCAGCAGACAGCGGCCCTAAGAAAGACATTGTAGGCGCAGGGCAGCCGGTAATCCTCGATGTTGCAGTAACTATGGTACAGTGTCTGGTCGATCATGATGCCCATCAAGGCGATGTACAGCACAGTCGCCAGCAGGTCATGAATCACGTTGACCCCCACCCTGTATTTGTCAAGCAACGTGATGAAGAAGAGGATCAGGGTCGTCAGGCAGAAGAATGTAGACATGAAGAGTGCGAAGTACACGAGGCCCTGGAACCCGCTCATGGCGGTGAGGATGATGATGGTGGCCCCAACCAGAAGTTGCAGCAGCCTCAGCACTCCCAGTGGGCTGTACAGGAAGTGCCAGTTCAAGTTCATGGTCCCAAGGCTCGGTTCCGCGGCGGCCAGAGCAGTGGAATAGCAGCGCCTTGCTCTCAGGGTCGGCCAGGCAGAGATGCCCGCTGCTCCCTCTGTGGCCTCAACACTACCCTAAAAGTTCTTATCACTTACTCTCTCCTCTCCACCTTTCCTTCTCTCCTCCCTCCAGCCCTCCTATCTTTCTCTTTGCCTCTCTCCACCCCACAGACCCTCCCTTTCTCTTGCCCCTCCTCTCTCTCCACCCCACTCTCTCCTCCCAGCTTCTTGCTATCTTCTTCTTTCTTGTTACAGACCGCAGGTATTGGGGTACTTAGGACCAGCGTCATGGACGAAAATTCCAGCACGTGGCCGCGCTCTGACCCGCTGGCCAGAGACCCTGTGGGCTCAAGGAAGTAACCTCCGGACGTGCCAACTCACTGTGGGGCTAGCTCTGTATAATTCTTTTTAGTCCTATTAATTCACTCCATGCTTCGAACCCCTGTAATTGCAGCTTCTGAGAAAATTGTTTCTTAATGTGCCTCTCTCAATGTCTCCACTGTGTTAGCAGTGTGTAAGGTTCTGGGAACAAATCTCTCTGAGGAACAAACTCTGGCCACTGGGCAAACTCGTCCAAACTGTTCTTTATCAAATTATTCAGTTATGTTTGATATTAACTTAATATACGAACCCTTGTTACCCATGGACAAATATTAAAACAAAAAACTGCTCCTAAAGCCGAGGCTGTAGAAAGTTCCAAAAGCAAGTTTGCTGGAGCAAGGCTGCCCAAAGAATTAACTCAAAGTAGATGGGCGACTTCCAGGTTTTTGTTTAAAGAACAAAAGGACTGCCATCTTAAATTGCTTCCAGGTGCAGCCCATTCACCTAGGAACCTTGCTTCCTCCTGCAGACCTGGCCCTGGCAGCTGACACAGCGGGATTCCTTTCAATCCTTTTCACCTTCCCCAATTCGAGATTAGGTGCTATAGATATGTTAATTAGCCTGGAGAAACCGAGTTGCTGCCCTGGGATTCGAACCTGAAAAGTACCATGTAATAATTCCCTTGAATTTCTGGAAAATTACGGATGTTAGATTATCAAGACAATTTGTGATGATGTTTTAGAATTTATACCTGTAAATCCTTGTGTCCTGTGTTGACTGATTAATCACATTTCACTTCTGTAGCCAGTCTTAACAAACCCCGCCTTCCTTTGTGTAAAGCTCCTCCCTGAAATAAAACTGGGGCGCAGACCGAAGCCCGCATGCATTACAGCTGCCATGCATTACAGCTGGCATGCGAGGCGTTACAGCTGGCAAGGCATGCGTTAAGGTTTGCAGGGCGGTGCTTTACTGCCTGCAGAGGCCACGATGCGGGTAGTCCAGGGTCCACCCGCCAGTGTCGCATCCACTCTGGTTTCGGGGTGTTTTGTGTTCTCTCTCTTTGCGTCTTTGTGCGTATTCTTTATCTGTCGCAGTCGCCACCAGAACTCCCTCCTTCATGAACCGAACCCCCATGTCGAGGCCAGTCCCCGACACTTTCTATCACAGGTCACACTGGCACCCCAGCCTTGTCCCTCTGGTCCAAACTCCCTGATCAGATTCCTTAATTCTGACAGCCAGGCTGGCACACCCGCTAGTCCTTCCTGGGCCTCCCTGCCTCTCTGCTTGGTGAAGTTAGCCACATCTAGAGCCACCAGGCTTGCCCTCTTGAGCTCTAGTCCTGCCTGGGAGCTGAAGCTGGCTTCATGAACGCCCTCCAGTATCTGGCTGGGCCCCTTTCTTTCTGCTTTCTCCTGTCCTGGCATCCACCGGCACCTCCTGGCTCTCTTCCTTGGTGTGAGAGGAGAGCAGAACTGGTGTTGAATTGGCATTCATTCTGATGAGGGCATCTTGAATATGCTCCAATACCTGCAACAAGAGGGCAGATGGGGTACACGTGCAGTGAGGATCTCCGTCAGCAACAACACACAATACCAGACTGCTTGGTGCTAGAACTCTGAACCACATATAAAGGGATATTTAGAAGACTGGAAGGCTTACAGCTAGGGAAATTTGTAGCAGAATCAAGAAATCCATTGCTTTCTAAATTAAGACGCTCAACTATTCCCGGAGCCGCCATCTTTGGAGAGATCAAGAGGGGGATGGATCAGAACAGCCTCAGCTGCCTGACAGAACCTCAGGTTGTGGACATTCATTTTTTAGTATCTGATCATTGGTCTCTCGCTATCTGCGCACCTCCATTCTGGTGATTCGCAGGGATGCATGACCGAATGTGTGGATTGTGTGGATCATGACAAGCTATGGACAACATTATGAAGTATCATGACAAGCTATGGACAACATTATGAGTATTCTGGAACACTTAATTGTGCTCGTGAGGAATCTGTACATGGATCAATAAGCAGTTGTTCAAATAGAACATGGGAACACTGAGTGGTTTAAAATGAAAAAAGGTGTGTGGCAAGGTTGTATTCTTTCAACATAATTATTCAACCTGTATGCTGAGCAAATAATCCAAGTAGCTGGGTTATATGATGAAAAATATGGTATCAGGATTGGAGGAAGACTAATTAATAACCTGCGATATGCAGATGATACAACCTTGCTTGCTGAAAGTGAAGTGTAATCCATGTGAATGCACAACATTCAGTATGGATTACATCTCAATGTAAAGAAAACAAAAATCCTTAACACTGGACCAATAAACAACATTCTTATCAATGGAGAAAAGATTGAAGTTGTCAAGGACTTCATTCTTCTTGGATCAACTATCA